GGGTTTCCACCCTTATAAAAAATAATATTTTTTCTAATATATTTTAGTTTTTGACACTTGAATATATTCTTATTTATTTTATTGTACATAAATAAATAAATATTATAATTTTCATACATATTCTTAAACCAAAAATTAGGGTTTCTACCCTTTCCAAAAAATAATATTTTATTTTCTCATTAAATATTATATTTTTACATACATAAAAAAAAACAAAAAAAAACATTTTTTGCATATTTATAATATATTGCATATTTATTTAGTTGTCTATTTAAATTTTGTTTATTTATCATTTGAATAAAGAAATTCGATTGGATTGTAATAACTTAGGGTTTTAATTTCTTCCAAAATAATTCCCCATTCAAAATTATATCCCCCACCCCATATCAATGTTGTAATAACGTAGATTTATTTTACGCATTTTATAGCTATCAAGTATGCCATGATAGAGATTAGGGTTTGTATGCAATATCCAAAATCGAAACAAATAGTTGGACCTAATACAAGACCTAAATGCATGAAAATGACAAACATAATGCACACATGTACCCCTAGGGTTTCAATTCACTTGTTGCCTTTAAAATGGCCATGGTACGCATGTTGAGTATCTTGGCAAAACAAAAAAAAAACAAAAAAAAAAGATCATAGTCCCTCGATGACGCTATCATGGTTGCCTATACAAAATGATCTAGTCCCTCCAAAAATTTGCTAAAGATACTTAGCACAATTGCTATCATGGTCAATACGATGACCCGCAACTGTCCCGTTTAACATCCAAACACAAGGTTGTTTACCAAATGCAATGGTAAAACAACACTGTAAAAGGGTTAAAAATATGTAGGAAAGACTCTTGAGTAGATAGGGTAGACAACTCTTAGTTACTTGATCAAAACTTGCAAAAACATCCTTGCTATTTTCAAACACACCTCACTAAACATTTCCCAAAATTAACTTTCAAACATTGAAAAATATTTTCAAAAGACAATACACATTTGTATATATTCAAACAAGAATCATTACAAAGGTTTCCACAACGATGGCCTCTTTTCAAAATATTTTCAAAACCACACACAAAGCACCATTTCAAACAATTGAAAAGCAAAAGCAAGTGATCTAAATAAGTAACTAAGAGCCCATGGATAACCATGGATGAAAAGGGTGCTTGCACCTTCCCTTTTCATAATCTACCCCCCAAACTCAAGAAATAATCTCAAAGGTCTTTCCTGTGCTTTTTGACCTTTCCTTTGGATAAAATAAAAAGTCGGTGGTGACTCTTGCTAAACTGAAACATTTGCGAACACAAACGCAAAACCTCAAGTCAGTTCTCTCACCGTATCACAACCATGTTTTAGCAAAATTATTGGCAAACCTAAAACCATAGTACTAACAATCTCCCCCTTTGGAAAATTTTGGCTAAAACAACCAAAGCCTAATTAAACTGGAGAGAGGAATAAAACCACAGAGGAATAACACCACAGAGAAATAAGACCACAAAGGAATAAGACCCTCAAACACAAGCTACAAACTAAACATGTAAACATTGTACATGAGGAAGAAGATAAGAGTTAGTACCCCTCAAACACAAAACCAATTCTTGTCACAGAGGATTAAAAATCCCCCTCAAGAGGAAGACGAGAATTTTCCTAAAGCACAAGAAAACCAACCTGAACTTTTCATGTGAAAACCCAAAGCTCCAGAAAACGAACCTGGACTTAAGGCATTAGAAGACAATGCAACAGAAGCAACACACATAACTCAGACACACGGGATTGTAGAACATCCGGTAGGATATCCTGCAAATAACTACAACAAAAGTAGCGGCAGAAGCTGAAGCAAGACAAACACAAGACTCACATGACAGACAATCATGCTCCCCCTAAAATGTTGCATAGTAAGAACCATCACTAGACAAGACTCATTAATACATTTCTCCCCTTTTTTAGCCAAAATAAATAAATAAGAAGAAAAAGAAACTGAAACAAAAGAAGACTCAAAGCTGACTCAAAACAAACAGACCAAGGACAAAAAGCAAACAAACCATATACTTGATGTAAGACTAATTGCATCAAAATGACTCAAAAGAAATAACAAAAAGAAGAAAGAAAAACAATAAAACCACCCAAAGAGACAAAAAACTAACAAGACACAAACAAAAGACTCAATTTAAATAAACGACCCAAGCAACCCAGACTCAAACATCTTTTTAATGTTTTTTTCCTTTTTTTTTTGTTGAAGTATATACAAACATAAGCCGACAAGAACCCAGCTAACCAATCTTTCCACCAGAGTCAATGAAGTTGACCCAATCTTCCTCAGCATCTGAGTCTGAATCATGTAATTAAACATGATTCTTTTTTAGGGACTTAATCTTTGTCACATATGTTTTCCCTGTCCTAGATGCTCCAGTTGATGTTCCAACATTTTTCACAATGTTGGACTCCACCTTCTTTGGATCAGAACTCACTTCCTTTTTTTTTGGTTTCCAACACTTGGACTCTTTTAACATCAGCACTTTCAGAAGACTTGATCATGGTTGAAACTCAACTTGTGAGGATGGTGAGGTAATGAGGTATTTAAACACAAGGAAAGTTACTTTATTTGTAATGAAACCTTGCTTGTAACGATAAACCAGTCAATGGAAGTGTTTTTGGAAGGAGATAAAATCATCCTTATTTACAGTGCACCACTCACCATAGGAGAGAGATACATGTTTGGTCAACTTTTTCTTCTTTCCATGCTTTGACTGCTGGAAAATGTTACAACATTTGAAATAACCATGGTACTAACACACATGGCTACCTTCCTATGATTATCCCCAACTTTAACACCAAGGAATTTTAAAGGTAACCTATCAATATCACAAGACAGAAAAGTCGACGCAGCTTCCAAGAACCAATCTCCCACATGAACACCATAAAGCTTACTCTTGTGGAAATTAATCTTCAAGCCTGACATCATTTCAAAACCCCTTAGGATAGCTTTCATACTCCAAAGATTTCCACTACTTCCACCAGTCATAATAATTGTATCGCCCACAAATTGCAATATATTAACTTCCTCATCTTCACTACTTTTAAACCTTATAAAGTCTCCAACCTCTAATGCCTTACTCATAAGCCCTGTTAGAGCCTTCATTACCAACATAAAAAAAAAAGGATAAATCGGATCTCCTTGAAGGAGACCCATCTCCACTTTGAAATCTTTCGTAGTACTACCATTAATTGTAATAGACATAGAACTTGTGAAAACACACCCTTCTATCCACTTAATCCATCTATCTCTGAAACATATCTTAGGTAACAAGTATCTCTAGAAATTATAACTTACACAATCGTAAGTTTTTTTGAAATCCACTTTTAGCACCACACAACTACTCTTATCTATTTTAGCCAAGTCCAATACCTCGTTTATCATCAAAACTCCATCTTCTATATTTCTTCCTGGAACAAAAGTGGATTGATTGATCGAGACTAAACTACCCAAAACTCTTTACAATCTTGCCGCCAACAATTTGGATAAAGTCTTGTGCAAACTCCCCACAAGATGTATATTCCTATACTCTGATAAAGATTGAGGATTCTTTATCTTCTGAATGAGAGTAATAAAAGAAGTTGTGCACACTTTGGTGAGTTTAGCACTCCTGTGAAAATCCCCTACAAATCCTAGGACATCATCCTTTAGAATATCCCAATTTTGCTTGAAGAATTGAGAGAGAACCCGTCTGGACCTGCACTTTTATTGCCATCACAAGACCACACCACTTCCTTCACCTCTTCTTCTGAAAATGCACTTTCAATCCACATACTATCATGCTCGTTTAAGGATTTAAAGGAAATACCTTTTGGGACCGGTCTTTGCACATTACTTTCCTTGAAGAAATTCTCAAAATAAGCCTTAATTTCTTCCTTAATCTCAGCCATTATAATCACATTCCTCTTATATCTCTTATGCAAAGAATTATGGAAAAAATGTGAGTTCTAATCTCTGTTCTTCAACCAAAGTTGCCTAAATTTTAGCCTAAGCATACTTTCTTTCAAATTCAACAAATTCTAAAGATCTCTTGTAACTCTTCCCCTATCTTTAATAAACTCCTCAATATCTCTACCGCGATGGTCTACCAACAAGCTATCTAACTCATTCAAGTGTTTCACTTGCTCGCTCACCTTCAAATCAATCCACCCGAAAATTTCACGGTTCCAACCCTTATACGAGGTTTCAAACATTTAAACTTTTCGTACAAAATGAAATCACCTCTCCCTTCCATGTTGATTTTTGTCCACTCTTCTTTGATAAAAGGCTTAAATCTCTCGTGCTTGAACCAAACGTTATTGAAACTAAGCGGCTTCGTCCCCCAATCAACCTTACCTGAGTTTAACAAAATGGGGAAATGGTCAGAAATGCCTCTGCTTCCCACTCTTTGGTCGATAACATTCCATTCATCAATAAACTTACTTGATAGTAAGAATCTATCATGTCTAGCCATTGTCGTCCTGTTCCCCTTAAACCAAGTGAATCTTCCCCCTACACACGGAATGTACACCAACCCCATATCCTCAATAAAACTCTAAAATTCTACCATATCTCTTCTGCTATAACCATCCCTAGCTCCTAATCTTTCTTCTCTAAAACAGACCTCATTAAAGTTGCCTTCCAAACACCATTCTTCATGATTGATTTGTTGCTTTCTATCAACCAACCTACTCCATATATATTATAAACTCCTCCTTTCCAATCCACATTAATGCCAATGAAGCTAAAATTAAGAGAAAATCAATTTTTCCTCTATAGAATAACCATACCCCCAGACACACTCTGGGAGTTACAAGCTGTCCACTCCACCTCCTTGCTACCCCAAAAATACCAAGCCAAAGAATCGTTGAAACAACTTAATTTGGCTTCTTGAATAAAACATAAGTCAGCATTACCTGAGTTGATTAAGAAGCAAATTCTCTTCCTCTTCGCACTACTGCTGCCCCCTTTAATGTTGTATGCTAAAAGATTCATAACAACACATTTAATACCGCCTTCTTTTCCAAAACCCCCTTCTTATCTTTGGACTCCATATTCTCCACTTCTTTGATGCTAACGACTCTTTCCACACGACTGACTGCTCCTAGCTTTGTAATCAAATCCCATATCTTCTTACCCACTTCAGATTCCTCATTCTTTAACAACCTTCTGTTGCAACGAAGGACTTCAGAGTCTATCAATGAATTACAGAAAGGGAAGGTTCCATTGGAAATACTATCATCCTCCCTAATGCCAGCTTTCGTAGAACTAGAAAAGATATAAGTTTCACCGTTCTTTCTGGGGAAAATACAAGCATAATAGGAAGGGATAAACTCCACCTTTTCCCCTAAATCCCTTACTTCTTTCACTTTTCTTCTCTTAGGCTTTACGGTTTTAAGCTTCTTACAAGCATCATTAAATGTTCTTGGGCCTTTCGTTAAATTTGTGCCATCAGTAGGCCCAATATTTTCCACGCGATCACTACCACCTTTCCCTGGCCTACAATATTAAATGATTTAACCCCGAGACACGTTAAGTCTTCTAATTCCCTAGTACAACTTCTATTGATAAACACACCTTTTATACTCATATTCCCCAAAGTGTGATGAGAAAAATTCGCCTTATTAACAATAATATTATTTTCAGAAAAGACAGATTTCCACTTTTTCCTTTGAGGCGCCCCAGAGATGTTAAAATGTGAAACTTTCTGCACATATACTTGGGAAGCCACAAAGGTATAACCTTAGTATTTATGAATCTATGACCCTTCTCCACACCTTTCTCACATCCTCTTCATCACCTTCATCCTCCTCCTCGATACCATCGTAATCCGTTGTGGTATTTTTGGAATCAGTAAGAATAACTGCGTCCTAACTTATACACGAAACCTCTAAAGGTAATTGCAATTCTTCTACCAAAATAATTCGAAACGAGGATCCATTGATCAACACAGTCAATGCTTCATTGATAACCGCTACAGACCTCGTTCTAATACTTATTATGGCCACATCCAAACTAAGCTTAATTAGGGTGTTAACATCGCAATTGACATATGTACCCAGGGATGCAAAAATGAGCTCAAAGAACTTAGCATTCCAAGCATGGCAAGGGATCCCTTAGCACCTAAGCCAAGTTATCCTTTCAGGATCGACATCACTTGGATCCCACGGTCTGATAACCTTAAAATAACTCTCCCATCAGCCCTTGCGCTCCTCAATAAAGCTTGTAACCTCACCGTCGACCAAATCTTCTAGGAGACAGAAATTAGCTCCTAGAGGTGTAACTATAATTGAAAAAATTCCATCATCATTGAAAAGCCTCTTCATGTTGTATGTCATCTCTGGTTCAAGAGCTTTCCCTACAAACGCTTTCACGAGCCATCTCATGTCATCTACATCTGCTGAGTAACTCAAAGAACGTGTTGTCAACCTAATCCCTTTCACTTCCTTAAGACACGTATCCAGATTATTTTGGGTTACATCGGCAAATGTTCGTCTATCTCCCTTCTCAATAACACCATGATCATAGTAATGACCTCATTGTCTCGTATTCACTACTTTGTCCGAACGTCTTCTCCCTATATCAATCTCGGTATGTTAGCAAAGATTTTTCTGCCATTGAGAAAGACTATCTAACTTCGTCACCAACAACCTTTCATCTTCTACATTGAAAAAACGGACGGATCCATATCTTCTGCCTCTTTTGTCCCTCTTGGGAGGGACGAAGACCTCATTAATATCTCCCAAGAGTTTGAACTCTACATACAGATCATTGGCCCTCCATTTGTCGTTGAACTTAATAACGAAGAATGTTGAAAGAGACAACCCGTTTCCTTTCCTTCTTCCGCTACCAGAGACATCCCATTTCGTAATAACTTTCCCACTACCATTTTTGTTTACTACCTTCGTCCAAACATCATTGTTGGAGTTTGTATCAACTATCCTTACCATATTTGCCTAAAACCCTATAAAAAAGGGGGTGGAAGGTTAGAGAGAAGGAGGTCTCTCTCTCTCTAATATTTTCAACTACATAATAAATATTATAAATAATTAACATATACAAATTTTTAATTCTAACCTAAGAGTTACATTTAGGGCTAGAAGTAGTCATTATAAATGAGGATGAAAATGTTATTATTGCTGTGACTGGGAGAATAGAGTGCAATTGAGAAGCTATCGCAGTGGAAGCTCAAGCCCTAAACCTAACTGTATTAGAGAAAAAGTATGTGTTATTGTTTCTCAATATTGTTGTTTAAGATAAGTTATTTTTGAATTAGATTGTATAAGGCTAAAATATTATAGGCAGGAAACAAAACGAAGTACGCTATAGGTACTCTACATTACAACAAAGCCCTATAGAAAGAACAAATAAGACAACAATACAAGAACCCAAGCGAACTATGTGGGAGGTGAAAAATACCATAAATAAAAAATGAACCCTGCTGAGAGAGAGGTCGAACAAAAGTGTGCAAGAAGATCCTGAAATCTTAGCCAGAATACCATTTCCAAGAAGAGAAATGAATCTAATTCATCACATTCACATCAACGAAATCTTTGTACGAGAACATCATTTCTAGATCTCCAAATCACCCACTTCTGTAAATATCACACCAAAGCTAAGCTATCATTGAATCTTGAATCTTAAATCTAACCATAGTGCAAAAAGGGCAAAAAACCCGCAAAACATCCAAAGAGGTCACAAAGTAACTGGTGGAACCACCAGAAAAATACAATACCACCACACTCAAAGAAAATCACAGGTAACAAAAAGATGTACCGCTTGGCTTACTCGAGCGAGGCCTCAAACCACAAAGGTGGAAGCCTCGATATCCCGAATAATCCTTCGATGGAGACATGTTTGAAACAGCAATTTGACATCATCGACTGTGTGGCTGTGATTTGATCCAATCCAACCAAACATTGATTGCATTTCATTCTGATAAGTCAACACTTTTGTCATATGCAAAGAATAACCATTTTTTCAATATTATCATCATCACCCTCCTTGTTACACTGCAGCTTCTGCGCCCCATTCATATCAAATTGGAGGGCCGGCCAACTTCAGACAACACAACTTACGAACTCGATCAAACCTTCCCAGGCTTTATTAATAGGAGCTACCTATACATATATATACACATATATACTTATAGATATAACTAAGTATTAGTTGATTAACTAGAAGATGATGAGTTTGCAGAAGGCTGCTGCTGCAGTTGCCATTCATTGGAATACACCAAAGACATTGCTGGTGGAGTGTAGTACGAAGTGCACGGACTCTCATGATTGTGGACACCATCATAACTTGTTAACACATAGCTTGTATCTTCCCTATCCCTTTCCACCCTCTTCTTCACACCACATCCTTCACCTGAACACTTATAGTAGTTCCTGCATGTTTGCATATATAGATAGATGTAAGAGGTGTAGTATACTAAATACTAATTCTAAAACTTATTAAACTATTCCAACTTTCATTTCACGTTTACATCATTATTTAACAAGTGGGAACCTGATCTGACATATACACACACTCAAGTTGAAACAGCAAGTTGATACACTTTTCTTGATTGAAGGACAAACAAATGAGAACCACACAAGTAGGGTTTGTTAATTGTACACCATTTGTTTGCTAATTAAACAAACATGCATACAGCTATATATGATTGTGATACAGTTTATAATTAATTATGATAAGATGACTCCTTGTTCCCTCTCCATATCATGCTATAGTATATATCAGCCGCCACAAAAAAAATTATATGGTAATACATCTAATCAGACCCACCATCACCACTATATCAGATATGATTTTCAGTAAAGTGTAAGTGCTCAACATTAATTAAAATAAACCATATAAATTAATTAAGTATAATCACTAATTAATTACCTTGGGTTGGAATTATTCTTGACAAACTTCTTTCCATACTTCCTCCATTTGTATCCATCATCCATAATCTCAAACTGCGATCTCGTTCTAAACGTAACCCTTGGACTCACTTCTACTGTACTTTCATTAATCCCTCTACCTTTGCGTTTTCTGTCAAACAAAAGAGTCACAGTATATTAATACTACTATACATATTTATTTGTATAATAGATAGAAATATGAAAAGCACTTGCATGATCATGTTATTATTGTTGTTGTTGATAGAGGTTTCAATCTCATCACTAAACCCTTGATTAATGACATTAATATCATTAATGGAACCTGCTCTATCAGATGATTCAGGAGTTTCTGTACTTAGTGACCAATTAGAGTCTTGATTAGCAGCAACAAGATCATCATCAAGCTCGAGATAATCAGATAAGTTAATGAAATCAGAGGAAAGAGGAGGAGGTATATTACTATTAACTCCAGAAAATGGGTTAGGGTTTTCAAAATAAACGTCCATTGCAAGTAGTCAGACGCAGTTAAAGATAACACAAGACCAACCAAGGAAATCGTTGTTTTAGGAGTGATTTGCTAGTAGTAATATTTGGATTTTCGTCGTGCAACCACTACAAATATATATACATATTTTTTTATAAAATCTGTAATAATGAAAAAATAGCATGGTTTAATCCTAATATATACATGATTTTTTATTATAGCTTGAAATGAGAACGATGCTTCCAAACATTTTCGTGGATGATGCAACGAAGGCTCCTTACTTACGGAGACACGTGTCAATACGGTATTCGTGAAGGTGACGTCATCTTCATGACGTATTGGTAGGCCCCATCTCCTCGTACGTTGAATCTGCAGCAACAAAAAGGCTATCGTTTTTTATACTTTTGAGTTATCCGCGCTCCAAACTCTTATAATAATTTTGTTTTGATAAAAAATCTCGTATAATTCTATAGATAATAATTGAGTTAAGATGTAAAAGTGAAATTTAAAACAACATAATTTTTTTTGTAAATGATTATTTTAAAGTTTTGAGGTGATATGTGATGTTAGATTAAATTTATGTGGTTGTTCTAATACAAATGTTATGGTTCTCTGAGCTCTCTTTTTCACCCAATAATAATATCATAATCAATTTATTATAATATATTAAATCTAAAATAATGGATTATATTGAAATATGTCATATGTCATATAATTTTATTTTTGGTACATCAACTAAATCTTATATATCACTCTTAAAATTGAATTTAATAATAATTTTGTACAATTGTTCTTTATCACTTGAACTTTTATTCCAAAAGACATATATTTGTTGTCCTGGACTAACCCAATGACTAGACATGGTTCAATCCATTTCTACGTTCAAAACGGCCCAATTACTTTAACTCAAACAGTTGGGACAGACGAATGACACTTTTCCCTTCTGCCTCTTACCCGAGGAGCCGTGGTCGGTTAACCCCAGGATCAACGAGACTACCTCTGCCCGCTCAGAACAGGCTAGTCCTCCACCTATCAGTCGCACGAGGACAACCACCTAGGAATGACCAGAGTCATGCTTGCCCTTGAATACTTTCCTGTCCATTATAACAGCTAGTTCCTGGCAGTTACCTATTTTTGAAGAACCTGATATCCAGGCCCAAAAATAGGGACCAATGGTCAAGCACCGATAACAATATATAAACCCTCATACTTGTGAGAGCCAGGTATCCAATATTCATTAATCACTGCTAAAACCTTGGACTTTCTATCTTGTATCTCTTTGCACTCTTTCTTAGTTGAGCGTCAGAGTGCCTTGTAGGTACACTCCTCTCCTCCTTATTTGTCAGCATTATAGACGAAGTCATCGACCCATTACAGGTTCTGATCATAGGTAATCTCAGTGAGACCGTCTAGAACTTATCTTCCCCATCTTTCTTTCATAGAAACTAAAGATAAAAGCAACATCACCAGATTCCGATCAAGGCTGATCATGATGACGACTATTTCACTGGAAAAAACATCCTCTCCCCGTTCGTAATGTTGATAATGATGACAGGTGTCCTCCCCTCGAGGACATCCCCTTAAAAAGAGACGGTGGCACGACGTCTCCCTCCTCCGTCAAGGTTGACGACGATGACATCCATTTATTGGAAACTGAGAGGACCAAGAAAACCCAAGTAGAAGCACTAACAACTCTCCAGCCAATTCTAGCGCTGATCCGGCCACGGCAGCTCTCTCGATGCCCTAAATCAAACCAACGCCCTGATCCTTTGTCAGAACATTATGTTCGAGGCAGTGGAAAAGAAACTATCAAGATCTCCTACTCTAAGACATCTACGACGCATGTCGCGCAGTGTTTCACCACGACCCTTTGGTCGTCGACCAGCACAAGGTAAACCAGAAGTTGCACTCGACAGGAAACGCAACCACTCTCCTTCTCATAGAGACAACCACTCCCCAAAAAAAGACCAGCGGCGAGTCACAGCCAGATGAACACCGTGTGCCCCTGCTAAAATCAACAACTCGTCCGAGAAGACCAACGCCCCGAAGAGTTGACAGTCCATACCTGTTGGCTGAAGATTTTGATATTGTGATTCGAAATGAAATGATTGGGCTTTGTTTGAATAAAGCAAGTTTTATGGTTTGGAATGGAAGAGACTGTTTTTTCGAATGGAAATATTAAATTTCAAGGTTTCGAATGATAGTTGTGGAGTGTAAGTCTAAAGAATTTTCGAAATAATTATGAGATTATATTTGTGAAGGTTGTTTTCGAAAATAACCTTTGAAACGAATTCGAAATGAAGGTTCCAAGGCGTTTGAAATTCAAACGTGAGCGGGATATTGGAAATTCAAATACATAAGCGTTAGAGCGTTCGAGGACGCGTGGAGGCTAGAGGGAAGTAATGCTCTGCATGCTTCGAACGTGGCAGATTTTGATAGCAAGACCGTTATGGTCGAAATAGTATAAATAGAGGTCTTAATGTTAGGATTTCGGGGTGTCATATCTGTTGTACAAATTCAGTAAACATTCAAAATACCACATGGATAGGGAAACGAATGCTCGAAAGATGTACGTATGATAACACCAACATTTACAATTCAATGAAAACTCTTTATATTTTCCAGTTTTGTCTTTCATTTCCATTTCATTTGTGCTTCAAACATTTTTACGTTCATGCATTTACATTAAAGCTTTTACATTCAGAGTCATTTATTTCTTTCTGCATTTAAACGCTTTTCTTATGTTCGAATCCTTTAAACATTCAGCAACTTTTACATTCACTCACTTAATCCTGCCATTTACCCAATCTTAAGTCTTTTTACTTTTCTAATGAACATTCCTTATATCATATAGAAATTATCCTTCGAATCATTTAGTGTAGTAATCGAAGTGGATTGGATGTCTTTGAAACACTTTAATTAGAAGTCCTAAATATGAATACCAGTTTTACAATTAGATTTAGCCAAACAACTATGTCCCATAGGATCAATCTAGTCGATCCTGCAAGTTACCAGAGAAATTGAATAACAGTAATTAAGTTTATTCGATAGTTTGGAAGACTAGCGGTTGTTTACCAGAAATCACTGTGAACAAATTGGCACGCCCAGTGGGACTCGTTGTTAAGAAAGTCGAAAGTAAAGATTTTTAGGATATAATCTCGATGTGTAAGTTCTTTTCTGAGTATCAATTTCGCTGTTATATGAACCTTAGAAGTGGTAAAACAACTAATAGTAACCAACCCTTACCCAGAAGAAAACGTAGTAGTAGGATGTCTAATCCAAGCAATCAACAAGGGGAACAAAATGCCCCACATGGAACAAGCACCAATACGTCTGTTTCGAAGGGGACGTCTAACGCGATCCCTACGAACGCACAGTCTGTTGCATCTTCTACCAGTAGTGTGGCCACAAATGGAGCAAGTGGCACGACAACCAACAGTTCGACCCTAGGGAATACAGGGACCACTGGTTATCCTGCGGGATTTGTCCCACCATCAGGGACACAAACCCATTTCGCCACCCCACCACCAACTAGACCACCCGGTTTCGATGGCAATAGACCCAGAAATCCCTCTTACGGGATGCCAACATCTTTTATGGCGGGTTTGCACAATTCCACATCAAATTCGTCACCACAATTTGGGTCCGGATCTGGGGCCAACCAATTTATGACAAATACCCAAGGTTCAGTAGGTCATAATACACTGCCTATCTTAACCACAAAAAATCATATGGCCTTTAGACAATTAATGGATGATAGTAACCATAATATGATAGGAGTGTTAGCACAGACTATGCAAGAAATCTTTGCCCCAATAGTACAAAATGTAACTGTAACCAACAGAGAAAACACGGACAACATGAGTCGAATAGCAGATTTTTTCGCTCCGCCAGAAAGGCGTAGGCATAATCAGGCGTTGGTTCGAGCGAAAATACCCATCATAGGACAAATTGCTAATGACCCACCCTATAGACCAGCCAGAGAGGGGGTTAACTTGGGGGCAAGGGCACAAAGACAAGAAGCCCCAATGATTCGAGAGGAACCACAAAGAGGAGTTATAGAACCAGGGGCAAGGGTCGAAAGGTTAGAAGTCCCAGAGTTTCGAGAAGAACAACCTAGAGGAGTTGTCATGGTGGGTCGACACCAAGATGCTGATGAAGTCGTTCATAGAATTAGAAATGACAACATCTTGGCAGAAAATAATTTAACCACCATGATAGAAAGGATTATGGCTCAAAACGGTCTCAATACAGGAATTAGAAGGCCAAACTATTCCTCTCCCATAGTAGATTATGTGATGCACACTGATTTACCAAGGGGATATAAGGTCCCTAAATTTACAAAGTTCGCTGGAGACACCAATGAGTCAACAGTCGAACATATAGCCAGGTATCTGACCGAAGCAGGAGACATAGCAAATAATGAGAACCTTAGGATTAAATATTTCCCAAGTTCCCTAACTAAGAACGCTTTCACATGGTTCACCACATTGCCTTCTGGATCCATAGATACTTGGACTCTTTTGGAGAGATTATTTCATGAAGAATTCTACATGGGACAATCTAAAATAAGTTTGAAAGAGCTACCCAGTGTCAAGAGGAAGTTTACTGAACCCATAGATGATTATCTGAATAGGTTCAGACTCTTGAAGTCTAGATGTTTCACCGTAGCTGGTGGCCTAGACTACTCCATTCGAAAGAAATTAGATACACAATACTTGAGGGATATGGCCCAATTAGAGGACAGGGTTCGACAAGTCGAAAGACTAAAGGCCGAGAAAGCCAGGGTTTTTAAAAATAACAAGAAAGAAAGGGTTTCCTATGTCGAAACTGAGGAAGCAGAAGATTACCCTGAATTCGAAGAGGTAGAAATTGATCTTGCTGAATTGAAACAGGCTCCACCTTACTCTTGTAAATTACTGGTTCCCACAAAAGGGAAAGAAATTATTGAAAATGAGAAAAGTGACAAGTTCCCAAAGAAGGTGTATACCTTCGACGTAACGAAATGTGATGAAATTTTTG